CATGACATGACAGCCGTTACACATGTTGACACATTTTATGAAAGTCGTAACACATGTTAACACATTATATTAAAGCCTTAACACATGTTAACACTTGATATGACAGCCGTAACACATGTTAACACATCATGTAAATGGCGTAGCACATATTATTTTTAAAATATTTATGCAAAAATATGCATATATATATTATTAAATACATTTTCTTACTTCATTCTACCTAAATGCTGCAACCTCCAACCCTAAACTGATTTGCTTCATTCCTCCTAAACTAAACTTCTGCAAGCCCACTGCACTGGTGCAGTCTCCACCTCACCAATGCACTTTTGCAACACCCCCCCCCAACTACACTGCTGCCGCAACAACACTTACCACCACCACTGCACTTGCTGCAACCCCTCCAACCACCACTGCACAGCTGCAACCCACCACTGCACTACTAAGACCTCCCCCCTTCACCCAACCACTGCACTGCTGCAATCCCCACCACTGTACTAATGCAACCCCCTACCACTGCATTGAACTGTGCTAGTTATTAAATTTAATTCCCATCACCATCATCACCACTTAACTGGTATCATTAATTAGATATCCTTAACAAATTATCATATGACCCGCTTCCCACTTAGGATTCGAACCAACACCAGTAAGAAATACCAGACCTAACAAGCCAACATCTAGTAGCCTCAGCTAATTCGCTTCACACAATTACATCAAAATTGACTATCATAAGTTATTATCTGGGACATTAACATTTCGCCTTTATGTGCAGTTGATATGAGTTGTAGCTAAAAATCTATTCTAATAAGCTCATTAAATAAGGTAAATAATTTTATAACAAGTTTTTTTTATATCGAGATAAATTTTATTGTTTTTTTCGGCAGCAAAATAATACATGTAAGTTTAAATATTAAAATTTAACAATCATACAGTCATATTCAAATCCACATTTAAAATCAATAAGTGTTTAAATGTGTAAAAGTTTAAGTGTGCAAGTGTATAACTGTGTGAATGTGTAAGTGTATAAGTGTGTGTTTTAGTAAGTGTGTAAATGTGTAAGTATGGTGTGTAAGTGTGTAAAAGTATTAACGTGTATAAGAAAGTAAGTGTGTAAACGTCTAAGTGTATAAATGTGCAATTGTATAAGTGTGTAAATGTGTAAGTGTGTAAGTATTTTAGTTAGTATGTGTGTAAATGTAAATATGTTCTGTAAGTGTGTAAGTGTGTAAAGGTGTAAATGTGTAAGTGTAAAAATGTATAAAAAAATGTGTAGGTGTGTACGTAAGTATGTGAGTGTATACGTTTGTGATTGTGTCAATATGTGAGTGTGTGAGTGTGAAAGTATTTCATGAGTGTGTAAATGTGTAATAGTGTATACGTTTGAGCACGAGTACGAAAAGGGTGAGTGTGTCAGTGTGTACTAGTGTTAATGTATTCGTGTGTAAGTGTGTGTGTCTCAGTATGTTGTATGTAAGTTTGTAGGTTGTGAAAGTGTGCAAGTAGGTATTGTGTAAGTGAGTGTGTAATTGAGTAAATCTGTAATGGTGTTAGTTTAAGAGTTTAAGTGCCTTAATGTGTAATTGTTGTTTGTAAGTGTGTGAGTGTATGACTCCTCTAAAACGAAATACAACGTCTTTTATATTCTAAAACTATTAACTGAGTTATTTCCCTTATCAGCAATGACTATAATTAATATAATTTTCTCTGAAATTAGTATTGCCACTGTAATGATTCAACGTCATTAAATGGCTTGCATAATTTACTGTGATATCATGCCCATATAAGTAGAAGTGGTTTTAATCAGGGCCAGAGTTGGTGGAGAACCTAACATTTATAATGTATCTTAGAGTTGATACATGGTAACAAATTACCAGTACAATTTATGATTGCCAGATAACAATGATGTTGTGACACTGTAAGAAAGGCTGTAAAACCGTAACTTTACATGCCATGCCTTTGAACCTATGCTAGGCACACATACACATATAAGAACGCAAACAATGAGCACTTTCAGCAATGTTTAATGTTTTAAGAAGCATGCTATAAATACAAAATAAAGACTGGCAGTCAAGTCTGAGATGATATAGGACTATCTTCAATTATAAATACATTTTTAACTAACTGGCCTCAGTTATTGTCAGTAATGATGTGAGAATATTCTTTGCTTATCATTAAAAGTAATGTTGACGTGTTGCATCATTGGCCTGTAAGGAATGCTTCATATTTAAAACAATTCAATCCATATGAAAATATTATCTAGTATAAAAAACTATTAAATATCATCATTGTCATTTCACTATGGTTTAACATAAATTTAGTGTAATATATATACATATATATATATAATTTGATAAAGAGAAAAATGAAATGACAATGAAACTATAAAGTTTACAATAAATTAAACTTTCATTCATGTCATTCTCTTACATTACAATAATTTGAATTGAAAATGAAATCCTGACACTCCTAGTATTACAATAGCATAGATGTAACTTTCATTCCTGCCATTCTCTAACAATACAATAATTCAAATAAACATTGCATCCCTGGCACTCCTAACACATTACAGTGAGTTCAAATAAAACTACACTCATATCAATCTTTTGATGATAAATTCAACTTACACTTTCTCTCTTATAGTAGAAAACAAATTATATGAAATACATGAACTGCTTTTAGAGATAATATTTTAAAAATTGTTTTTTTTATATGAAACATTCCTTTCCCTAAAGTTGCATAGACAGATTTGCAAAATGACTCCTCTAATAAAATATAGCATAAAAAATAGGGAAGGATTTCAAGTAAAACTACCTAATTATTTACGACCAGTAAAAACAATTAACTTATTACACATAACATAAAGAGAGGACTACATATAATACACAACTCTCTCACCTCCCCAATCCCACCCTTAACACCCCCACCAATCCCGACATGGGCATGCTGGTTTCTATATGGTATAGGCTTTACCAGTAGATGTGTTGGAACCTGCCCCTCCGCTGACTTGGTGTTGACAGAGCTGTGGACCTGTCAGCTGTACCCATTGTATCATACCAGACGTTAGCCCTAATTCCTAGCACAGGTCAGTGTCGATAATGCATCACATAAAGTTGTGAATATTGCCATACATTTCCTAAATCTTTGATGAAAGTGCATAATTATGAAAGGTCGCTTCATTAGTTCAGAGACTAATCAGCATTTGCTTCTACTAAAGGTGCCCCATAAACTTTTTAGTTATAGCTGCTTGACAAATTAAGAACACTAAAATATCTTAACAAGAAAATAGGAAATTATAAAACACTATTTTTTTAGCCCAGCTTGTTAGAAACAATTCTTGACTTGGAAAAAAAAATAAATGTATATTTTCCTAAATCATATGGGGCTGTCTCAGATTGTCATTTCTGAGAAATGGTAGAAAATACATTCACTATAACCTATTGATAATTATAAGTCTTACTGTACATCTTTAGGAATTTCCTTTTTTTTTAAAATATAGAAATTCTGTGCAAGTGTGGCCTGAATAATGAAAACGGCTGACAGAGATTAAACTTAATTTTAGATGTATCTAACATTCATGCCCTAATGTAGATACACCTTCAATCAGGTAATAACTCAGTTATAAATAATTGTAGAGGATTTTTTTATATTTTAAGGAATTTTCTTTTTACTAAATTCTGTGCAAGTGTGGCCTGAATAATGAAAACGGCTGACAGAGATTAAACTTAATTTTAGATGTATCTAACATTCATGCCCTAATGTAGATACACCTTGAATCAGGTTATAACTCAGTTATAAATAATTGTAGAGGTTTTTTTTTATATTTTAAGGAATTTTCTTTTTTCTAAATTCTGTGCAAGTGTGGCCTGAATAATGAAAACGGCTGACAGAGATTAAACTTAATTTTAGATGTATCTAACATTCATGCCCTAATGTAGATACACCTTGAATCAGGTAATAACTCAGTTATAAATAATTGTAGAGGTTTTTTTTATATTTTAAGGAATTTTCTTTTTTCTAAAAATTGGTATGATAATATAGACTGTTTAGTGTCAGTGCGGCCTGAAAAATATAGTTGTCTTCAGCATCCCTAAATGCCTTCACAACTAAAGGCCATGAAAACAGCTGATTAAACTTAACTTTAGACGTTTCTAGCATTCCTCCCCTAATGCCAGAAATATCAAAAGTCAGGTTGTGGACAGTCTATACTATTTAGTACCATTACTATTATATTTATATATTTCTTTTCTTAAAAATTATGATTTCTTATAAATTTTACTGGTTGACTATTTTTCTTTCTATTAAAACAAGCTAGAGAGCCACTGGTCACTATTCTTTTACTAACAAATACAGTGTAAATGGAACAATCGCTACCACATTGCCAAAGAGAATAAACTACTCTTTATATTGAAAAAGGCCTTAAAGGACAAAGGTTTTTTTCTTTAGTTTATGTCCAGTTCTCACCGGATTTAAATATTACATCATGTCTGCAAGTCAAGAATATTACTTGTTAAAAGTTTTACATTTAGTTAACTAAATACTTTGATGATGTTAGCAACATTAACACCACAACAAGCCCCTGGTTCCTTTCCCTTCCTAAAAGAGCCTATATTTCTATTTGTGCATTGTAACAGGAAAAAAAAAAGTGAAACAGCTTGCACATTACTAATGAAACGACCTGTTTACAATCAGGCACTCTGTTTACATAGACAAGGAAACTGCAATATTCACAAACGTATGACACATTATCCAGACTGACAAGGCTAGGGTTCAGGCATTATCTGGTAATCAACAATGGGCCAGCCGAGCAGGCCACAGATGTCAACACACTCGCAGCGGAGGTTGGCAGGCGGCCTGCTCTATTGAGCAGACCTCTCCAACTGTTCATCTCCCTGGTGTGCCACCATTACCAGCTGCCCCCTCTTCCACACCCACCTTCCGTCAGGATAACCCTCCCCTGACCCACAAAAACCACACCCTGCATCCCCACCATCCAATGACAGTGAAACAAAAGAAAAACAAAAGGTGTAATAAGTTAATTGTATATCACCCACCAGATCCTCCCCCTTTAAAACATAACTAAATTTTACTTGAATTCCCTCCCTTTACAAAAATAAATAAATAAATACTATTACATTTTCCAAATATTAATCTTGAACATCCAGAAGTTTGTTGAGATCCTGGCTTCTGCTTGAAAATGTCTTTTCTTGAAGATTTCACACAGGTGCTGTTGTTGACTGTAATTTTAAGTAACAGATGTTCAATATTATCTTTTTTCAAGCCAGCTAGTTTAAAACTAAAGTTCAAAGCTAATTCTCAAACAAAAAAAGTATTAAACTTACCTTGATTAAAGAGCCTCTTGAGGAAGGTTAAGAATGTTATGACATTTCACAATTTTTAAAACTTGAACATCCAGAAGAGGGTTGAAATCCTGGCTTCATCTTGAAATTGTCTTTTCTTGAAGATTTCACACATGTTTTATAGACTGTAATTTAAAATAACAGATGTTCAATATATTTTTAAAGGTAGCTAGTTTAAAACTAAAACTCAGAGCTAGTTCTCAAAAAAAAGTAATAAAACATACCTTGATTAAAGAGCCCCTTGGGTTGAGGAAGGTTAAGAATGTTATTTCATAATCGTCTGGATGATTGCTGACATTCTGTTTATGGACACAATTTTTAAAACTTGAACATCCAGAAGAGGGTTGAAAATGTCTTTTCTTGAAGATTTCACACATGTGTTCTTGTAGACTGTAATTTAAAGTAATAATTTGTTTTACAATCTTTTTTTACATCAATTCTCAACATCCAGCTGGTATTTTATTTTTAAATGTCCTTTACTAATGTGAAATCTGGTGCATTTTTTGTAAAAAAAAAACAGATACAGTTTAAAATTGACCTCATATTTTAGAAAATAAAAACCTTTTAACATACCTAAAAATTAATACACATCCTGGAATTTGGAAATAAATCAATCTACTGATGGACTTCAGTGACCTGCTAGGATGTAATTTTATGTCTGCAGGGGAAAAAACTCATACATGATTAGAAAAATACATAAGGTAACTAAAACCTAACCAGAAGGATCTGGCTGATGTTTGACAATGTCTTTATCGTGAACTTGTTACCGCTCATTGCTGAGGATTGAAATGTAAAAAAAAAATTAACAACAATCTGTAGAAATGTCATAACAAAGAAAAGTTTAAGACTGTTCTAATAAAATTGATTTTGAAAAAAAAGGCCTACTGAAATATTATGGGTTTCTCGAGGTTTGAACATAAATGTACTGTCGAACTTCGTTGAAGACTGTTGGACTCGTGTGCTTGTTGGCTTAATGAATTACTTCTGGTTGATGTGCAAGACAAAAGGATACATGTTGTTAATTATAAACATACTTTTTAAAAAATAAATAAATGAAACACATCAGAATATAACTTTAGCTTTAAGACTAAACTTTTACAAATAATTTTAAATTATAGACAGCAACTGAAAAATTAATGCTTGAAAAAAATGTACTTAAATGTTTGCATAGGCCTACCTAAAAATCATGGGCATCTCAAAAGGTGTGGAAAAGAAACTGCTGTTGGACTTTGCTGCTGATGTTTGCCAGAAGTGCCACCCCCCCCCCCCCCCACCCCAAACTTAATCTATGCCCATAAAATCCTACCCAAGTTTACACTAACTGTCAGCCACCAACTCAGTAGAATTGCGGATAGGTTGTCCATGTCTTTAAGCTTTTCCACTTAAGTAAGTGACCAAGTTAGTGCCAAGCTTTAAGTTTCTCCACTGAACAATGTGTCAACCAAAAAATGTTATCACAAAAGAGCTGTCGAAGCCCTTGAGTTTTTCACATAAGTGGGTCACAAAGTCAGTAGAGGCACAAAATGCTTGACCTAAAAATACCCATTCCTTTTCCCAAACATCATTATCTAACGATGAACTGTAACATCTTGCCTGAAACATATGCAGGAATGCGACTAAAAAAACCAACGAAGAAATTAAAGCAACTTGTTAACCTACAAGATAACAATTTTAACAAAGTGTTGAGTGTAACATTAAACCTACTTAAATTAGGCCTACTGCATTTTATTAAAGTAAACGGCACCTGTAGGTCTATTTAAGTAAAACCTATAACGTTTTAAAATAAACATTGTATACATTATAAAATCGGTCTATTTTATTTTCAGTAATTAAATTGAGATATAAATATAGGCCTAAATGTGTATTATTATGTAGGCCTATGCCTATAGGATAGATTAGGCCCTACTGTAATATTGTAGGCTTAAAGAAGGTATAAGGACCAGGGATGTCTCTTCTTGTACGATAAGACGAGCCTAAATGTTAAAAGTTAAAAGTTAATACAATGTTATGCCTAATAATACTAAATGTCTATAGATAGACCCTTTATTTTTAAATTTACACAGATCTAGTACGCTTATATGACAGGCCAAGGCCTCTTATATGTCATATGACACTATAATATTTTTACAAAGTTTACCTTAACTAACTTAGTTAATATTAAGTAACTAGCCTAATATACGTTGTATAAGTTTACCTTCATCTTGATATTGATACCACTGAAGCCAAGCAGCTGTTAAAGATATCTAAAAATCGGGCGCCAACACTGAGTATTTAATCATTCACACATCAACATTAGCCTAAGCTAATGTGTTTTAGTCTGTCACGTGATGTAAACAAACACATAACTCAGCAGGGTAGGTGCCGGCTGTGTGAATGTTTTCATTTTTTGACAGCTAAAGCCTAGATCTATTGGTCAAACGGTTAGAGTATCCCAGTGTTCCTTCAGTCATAGTTGGCGCAAACTTGAAGTCATAATGAAACTACATGGTCTAGATACAATCCAACCTACACACATAATAGCTGACCCAGAACTTCATATCATAAGTTTCACGAAATTGCAATGCAAAAATTTGGTAAGTAGTCTAGTCAGGATCTAGATCTAGATCTAGTCTGTGATCTTAGACAACTTTTTTTTTATAACAATTAGGCGTACCAGGCATAGTTGTTAATGTTGTGCACACTTCCTCCATAATATGTATTCTTTAGCCTAATAATTAGATTTTTAAATTAAAATAAAACAGTCTAGATTGAATGTTATTGTTATATAGGCCCAAGATAATGCTATTGACTATTGTATAGGCCTAGGCCTAATTATGATAGTAGACCTATAGGGCATAAGGCCTAATGAAATTGCTCTGCCTTGCCAATATGTTTTTAATTTTAACTAGTTGTGCATACTTCCTGCCCCATGTTGTATGTAGATCTAGACCTGGTTAAAAATTAGGCCTACTGGTGTCTTAACATATCTCATTTTGAACTTCTTTAATAATAGCATATGCCTCCATTGATAAATGTTGAAAAAAAAAACATCCTATAAGCCTACACTATAGGCCATTAGATCTCTAGTATATTAAAGTTGCTGTGCCTTAAGTTATTTAACATGTTGTGCATACTTCCTCCCTAAGTTGTATGCAGAACTTGTTAATAATTATTTCTGTCCAATGGACATCTGAAAATTTCTCTTTATTATAGCCTCCCTTTTAGAGAATCTGTAGGCTATTATATTTTAATTGTTGTGCATTGCCAATATGATTTTAACTTTCTGTTGCCAATATGTTTTAACTCGTTGTGCATACTTCCTCCCTAAGTTGTATGCAGAACTGGTTAAAAATGGTTGGTGACTAAGTGGACTTCATTTGATATTATGTCTCTCTCATACACTGTTTAAAAAGAACATCAGTCCATGGTATTGAAAATGAAATTGCCCGGCAGTTGCCAATATGTTTTAACTCATTGTGCATACTTCCTCCCTAAGTTGTATGCAGAACTGGTTAAAAATGGTTGGTGACTAAGTGGACTTCATTTGATATTATGTCTCTCTCATACACTGTTTAAAAAGAACATAAGCTTATAGTCCATTGTATTAAAAATGAAATTGCTCGGCTGTTGCCAATGTTTTAACTTATTGTGCATACTTCCTCCCTAAATTGTATGCAGAACTGGTTAAAAATGGTTGGTGACTAAGTGGACTTCATTTGATATTATGTCTCTCTCATACACTGTTTAAAAAGAACATCAGTCCATGGTATTGAAACGGAAATTGCTCGGCTGTTGCCAATATGTTTTAACTCATTGTGCATACTTCCTCCCTAAGTTGTATGAAGAACTGGGAAAAATGGCTGGTGACTAAGTGGACTTCATTTGATATTATGTCTCTCTCATACACTGTTTAAAAAGAACATCAGCTTATAGTCCATTGTATTAAAAATGAAATTGCTCGGCTGTTGCCAATGTTTTAACTTATTGTGCATACTTCCTCCCTAAATTGTATGCAGAACTGGTTAAAAATGGTTGGTGACTAAGTGGACTTCATTTGATATTATGTCTCTCTCATACACTGTTTAAAAAGAACATCAGTCCATGGTATTGAAATTGAAATTGCCCGGCTGTTGCCAATATGTTTTAACTCATTGTGCATACTTCCTCCCTAAATTGTATGCAGAACTGGTTAAAAATGACTGGTGACTAAGTGGACTTCATTTGATATTATGTCTCTCTCATACACTGTTTAAAAAGAACATCAGCTTATAGTCCATTGTATTAAAAATGAAATTGCTAGGCTGTTGCCTATATGTTTTAACTCGTTGTGCATACAGGTCTCATTTGGCATGTCATCTTTGGTGCCTACATTTCCTTAATTTCCTACACAGATGATATAAAACAGCCTATATTTGATTATTTTAAAATTAAAATTGCACTGCCTTTGTTGATATATTCCAAGTTAAATCTTCCCATTGAAACATGACATTGTATTGTTGGATGGGATTTCCTCCAGTCCTACATAATTTATTATTATGTAACAACATCAAAAAATGTAGTATTTCTTAGATCCATGTACAAAGCTGCTAGGCCCATGGTTTTCTTCCATTAATTAATTAAATCATGTGAGAATTTTAACAGACTTTAATAAAACATGGACAAAAATATACACATTGACCAATTTGAATTTCTCGTTTGGATTTTTTAACCTTAATTTTTTGAAAATGGTTCTGAAATGTAGGCCTATCTAACGTTTTCATTTCTAAAATTGGCAAAAAGGTAAAGATGTATTGTAATAGGCAAGGGCAAAATAATGGTGATAAGTAAATACATTTTTAAAAGCCAAAAATAATATAGACATTAAAAACAGGTTTGCACTGACTAAATTCACTACAGATAAAATAATTTAGATTTTATGTTTGAAGGCAGGTAATAAAAGATTTCACCAGTTTCACATTTGACAAAATCCATTAGAAAAAATATATTTTGTCTTCCATGATTTCAACTTATTTTTTTGGCAATTAGTGTGCATTGCCATTAATCCAGCTATAATTAGTTGACTTTCTATCAGTAATGCATAAATTATTGTCATTTGGTGTAAATCAATGTTCACCCATTTTCTTACAAGTCAAATACTTCTTTTTAAAGCTTTTTGTGGTGTCTTTTAGTACTTAAATACCCAGTTGTCTTTAATGTTTTGCCTTTCACAATATGTATTTGCATATTGGCATCCAATGAAGAGGATATGATTGGCTCAGTGGATTCACTCTCAATTCACAATTAAAAGGTTCTCCAGCTTGTGAATCAGTAAGCTGCAAATCCTATCATGTCAATTTTTTATTCTCTTCCTCCTATTTGATGCCTTTGAGATCTCAATCAACTTCAGAGCTTTATAGGCCTACATGGTGTTTAATATAATTCCTTTTCTAGAAATTCCATCTTTAAAACTATTAGTTGGTGGACCACAGCCCATGGTGAAGAATATTGAATATAAGTTTCAGTTGCCATTTAAAAATAACATCTGTTTCCTCATGAATCTAGCAGACAATAGTATTAATTATATATCTTTCATTCACTGCATTTTTGAATGTGTTATATTTTCCTTAATCCTATTTTGAATGTGCAAGTAAATAGAAAAGATATTGTCAAAACCTTTCTCACCAGTCGGGTCACTGTCACATTCTGTACCCAGTTTAGGCAACTACTACAGTCTACTAGCTAGGCTAGTATGAAATACATTATTAATTATTAAGAAAGTCTGTAAAGTATTATACCTGTAGAGTGTGTCTGAGTGGGATTAGTTTCTGCAATCAAATGATCCATCTCTGTAGTGGAAGACTACACTCTGACTTGCAATGGTCAGGCTAGTCTTAAACATGTTCATACATGGTTAAGAAATTTGTATTAATTTAAGTGTTTTATTGAGGAATGTATCTACAGGTAACAGGTGTGTTTGAGAGGGATTAGTTGAAGACTACACTCTGACTTGTAATGGTCAGGCTAGTCTTAAACATGTTCATAAATGGTTAAGAAAGTTGTATTATTTTAAGTGTTTTATTGAGGTATGTATCTACAGGTAACATGTATGTCTGCAATCAAATGATGCCTTTCTGTATTTAGTCAAAGACTACACTCTGACTTGCAATGAGCAGGCTAGTCTTAAACATGTTAACAAATGGTTAAGAAAGTTGTATTAATTTAAGTGTTTTATTGAGGTATGTATCTACAGGTAACAGGTGTGTTTGAGAGGGATTAGCCTAAAACTAAGTTGAAGACTACACTCTGACTTGCAATGGTCAGGCTAGTCTAAAACATTTATTAAATGATTAAGAAAGTTTTATTATGTCTTATGAGTATGATGGAGCAGATAACAGTTTTAGGTTTTTAATTTTACAATGAATTAATCAAATGCTGCCTTCCTGTTTCTAGTGTACAGGCTGATTGGTGAACCCTAGAGAAAACATTAACTTGCAGTGGTCAGTCTAGTATGACAACCATAGACTACATTCTGATATACAATGATCAGGCTAGTCTATATAAAGGGTTAAGAAAATGTAACTAATGCTGCATATATTCACATGACAGATAGTAATTAAAACTTATTTTTCTAGCCATTAAGTGGTCTCAAATTTGAATCTAATTCTTTTAACTTCTTGTGTAAATTACATTCCAAGAACCACGGAATGCACAATTCTTTCATAAAACTGTAACGGGCAACAATTTGTTCTGTTTGATGGAATTTCAGTCCACCTCCCTAACTAATTCTTCAGTTATCTTTTTATAATACTTGCTCAATTTAGAAAGTTTTGTTTTGAATTCATCGCACATTCATCATATTGTGGCCAGTCAAACACTGCTTTCTTTCTTCATTCTTAAATGTAATATTTGAATTGGTTTCCTCTAATACACTGTGGCCCATTGAGTTAAATACCATGAGCTTTTCCTTTTTCTAGTCTTAAATTGCTTGTGAGGATAAACTTTGAAAATTATTTCATAATAAGGCATAATAAGGTACTTATACAAACACTGAAATATTGTTTAAATTAATATTAGTTTTCTGGCTTTTAAAAATGTATGCATTAGTGATAAAAGTTGATAGTTCAATTTTTGTTTGAATAAAAAATCTCTCCACATGTCAAATAAGAATATTTACAGCCAAGATTGATGAAATATCAGGCGTCAACTTTGCTCAGAGACTTATTAATATTTAGTGTAAAGGCTTTCTTGATTATAGTATCACAGCTGTTTCAAAGTAATAAATTATTTTTTTAAATCTTCTGCTGCAAATTAAATTCCATCACAAACTCTAGTTTTGTAGAAGTTATTTGTATGGGTCTGGTGGCTGCTCCATGGATTTAATAATATAAATTCCCTACCGACCCCAGTGAGGTTAAAAGGCATAAAATAGCATGGCCATACAACTAAGAACAATGCCTAAAATAAATGACAATTTGGTTGTAATGAGACATGTGGTCAACAGGGTCAAATAATTCCATGTGATAGAACTTGGGATGTCAAAACTGACCACTCACCAGAACATGAATCAGAGTATTTTAATCTCCTGGCGCTTTGATTACGTTTAAAAAAAAAAAATTTCTGAAACTATAAAAACAATAAAATACTTTGTAAAGAATTGACTAAAGGAAAATGTATAGTTTTGAGCCATACATATATTAAGATTGCTCTTTTTCTAGCTTAATGTTTTGCTTATATCAATAAAAACATTCCATGGTCTTTTATGTTTAATTTACAAATTTTATTTATGTGTTTTAGACATTTATTTAGTGATATATTTAGATATTAGGGTTACTCCAAAAGCTCCATTGTGCATTTGTAATATAATTTAAGAGTTATAGGATGAATAAATCCCCATAACGCAAGTAGATTTCATCTGCTTCCTTTACCTTGGCATTGTGTGGCCAGCACAATTTCCTGCCATATGACTTTCCATATCTTTTTTTCAGATACACGTTACAGCAGCTTGGACTTGAGAATTGCACCATGCCATCCTATAAAGCTGAACCAATGAGAACCTTCTGTACAGAAACTCTTCCTTGTCTAGGTCACTTTGTTACAAGAATAGTATATTGTACCCAAGTAAGTTATTTTACTATTTAAAAAAACAGTCTTTGATAAATAAAAAAAAAATTGCAAAAAATCTGTTACCTTTATAAATTTATTTACATTTAAAATGAGAAATAATCCCTCTAGAGATTTACTTATCCTACATATCTCCACCACCTGCCAATCTGGAGTTAAAAGCTCTGTTGTTTTAACAGGTACATCATGTTTAACTCTTTCTATACCAGAGCAGTTTCCACCTCCTGACCTCATTATTTCCGTGACCCAATTTTTTTACACAACCCTCACCTACTTGAACAATTATAGCTCCTATGTTTTTCTAACCAGATTTATGTATTATACATCAAAATGAACAGAAATGAAATTTCTATAGTAGTAAATGAAGATAATTGTGAGTTATGTTAAAGAATGTAGGTTTTTTTACATGTTAAATGACTTGTTAAAAAAACTAACACTAGCCATGTCGAGCCGTACCTTGCGGCTCGCGGGCCTACGGTGAAGCTGGCTCAAGCCGCAACTCGCGGCTCATGGGACGGATTGAGTTAATTTGTAGTGTCTGATATTTTTACTATCAATATGAGATGTAATTCTGTGCTACTAAATATTAACATATTTCAGAGTAGAAATAGCAGAAATAAAAATTATTCACATATATATTTATAAATGTCTTATTATTCAATAGCTAATGTATTTGAAATTATGACATTGATATATCTTTTAGAAATATACACATAACATTTTATTCATAATAGTATTTTTTTTTTCTCTTTCATAACAATCAGATCTACTGATGGACCAGTCTAAGAACAAAAAGACCACTCTTCCAGTGATTTAATGTCTACCGAACCAATTTGTACAACCAGTTCCCACCATTGGCTTATTGTATTGAAGATTATGTCTAGACCATGTCAAGTTAGACCAAGTGTTTTACATTTTAGTTTATGTCATTCATACAATTCCTTTACAATATTTGTGTTTATTTAGTAATATGGTACCTTATTATAAGTAGGATTTTAAATGTAATATAATTACCTGGAAATGGGCACAGCTGTTCGAAAAAGAAATCATGTATGACCTTTAGAAATAACTCTTAAATCTTTGCTGTGTATGTAATATTGCCTTCAGGTTTCACTTAAATATGGTCGCCTATCAGATAATTAAGTGAAATCTTGAAATATGTATATGAGAAGTTATAAATCACCTGACCCCAACCTAATTCCATGCCCCTACCTCAACCCTCGAATACTGCTGTCCACACTATCCTTTCATATGATGATGTCACAAAAACATTTTTTATTTTTGTTTACCCCAACCCTAACCTTATAAGTTCTCCAGGATTTGGTATGCAGGACACTGTCATAAATTAGGTTACTGCTGCTCCATAATTTAGTTTTTAACCATATTGTTATATGTTGACAAAGTTGAAATGTTCACCGTACATAAATTTGAGAGGATGCTAACTGTTTGCCTTTATAATTTTTGAAATTGAATTAAAGTGGCAATAAATTTCTTGCATCTGTTTTTTTATACAGTTTTGTCAACTCATCTGTGTAATTTATTACTGAATTTTAATACAATTATTTTATCATAATGCAGAATTTTAAAAAATGTACAGAGTAATTTAGTTTGACACTTTTTTGGACACAAAAGAAAGTGACATACAAACTTGCAAGATGCTCAAAAGTTTGAAATTTTTATTTATGAATCAGGGTTTAACCTACCAAAATTATATTGTATGAAAGCAAAAAAAAAATGTACCGAGTAATTTAGTTTGACACTTTTTTTGGACAAAAAAGAAAATGACATACAAACTTGCAAGATGCTCAAAAGTTTGAATTTTTTATTTCTGAGTCAGGGTTTAACCTATCTAAATTATATTGTATGAAAGCAAAAAAAAAAAGGAGCTGACAACAATGATTTTATCAAAATTAAATTATCAAAAAAAAAAAAAATCCATTTTTTAAATTGTTTTTTGGCTTATTTTTTGTTACTTAACAAAACGCAGAATATTTTATCTGTATCAATTTAAAATAACAAAAAGGAATTTGATTAAATAAAATAATGATAACGTATTATAATCGTTAGGTAAATAAGCAAAAAGTATTAATTTAATCTTTTTGGAATTACTGATTCCTACCAATTTTCACAGAACTTACAAAATCAAATTGTGTACCAAGTTGTGTGTGTATCTTGACTTCTGCCAAACTCCAGAGACTGACTGACCAAACCCATGGCTATTTCCCTTTTACCATACTTTTTTTTTTTGTGACCTTTAGAAAACTATAGATTAAAATTTTTTATGGTTATATCCAGTTGATCAACAAACATGTATGAATTAATAAAAGTATTTGTATTGGATTTTTAAAAAAAAATTAAAGAAAGCAATATTAAATTGGGTAAAATTGCAAAAGCATTGCGAAAAGCATTAACTAAGGGTGAATTTTTCAAATGACAAAAAAAAAAAGGCGCTTAACTCTTTCAAAGCTAGAAAATACATTAATTTAACGGTTACTTCCCTTAGACCGCAAAGTTATTTTCTTCGAAATAAAAATTTACTTTTCTAAAAGGGTGCTTAACTCTGTCTAAACTAAAGAGTAAATATTTTATCCCTTTGACCATCAAATTTGATATAAATTTAACTGTTACTTTCTACAATGTTGCTTAACTCTGTCAAAACTATACAGAAAATATTTTCTCACGGTTTTATCCCTTTGACCACTTCAACATGTATTTTAAAAGTAATTTTTTTTATTAACTAAAGGATGACAAACCCTTTCATAACTTATAAAATAATATTTTGTTTGTATGTATCACATCTCATTTAAAAATAATTATAACATTTAAAGATACTGATGGTGAAAAAACTGCTGCTGTTTAGTTTATTCTTGATTGGACAAAGGCTATGGAAGCAAATTCATAAAGAAAACCAGACTGAAATCGGTTGACACGTATACTTAATTGTGTTGGAGGGAATCCGCTCCAACATTAAAATTAAGAAAGAATGAAGAAGAAGAAAATGATTTTAAAATTGTAAGTATTACATTTTAGAGAATTTTCAGAAGAAAAAAAAAAAGAGGTTTTTATTAAGGGTAAAAAATCATGGAATAAAATTATTTTACGTAAATTTCCTTTACATGGCAAACATTTTTTGATGTCCTACTACAGTGTACTGTCCATGTCCTACTACAGTGTACTGTTCATGTCCTACTACAGTATACTGTTCATGTCCTACTACAGTAGACTGGCTATGCTGTTAAACACCCGACGTCTATTGATACCACCTCATGTCCCTGGCAGCCTTTTACTGGATCACAAGCACAGCCTTTGCCTGTACGTATAACGCATACAGGGGACACTAATCGGGGTAACTTGGTCTCCAGGCCAAAGCTCAGAAAACAATCAATAATCAATCTTCGGCAAAATACAGATCTTTATAAACAGCTGCCTCCGACAAAATACAGATCTTTATAAACAGCTGTATCCGACAAAATACAGATCTTTATAAACAGCTGCCTCCGACAAAATACAGATTTTTATAAACAGCTGTATCCGACAAAATACAGATCTTTATAAACAGCTGCCTCCGACAAAATACAGATCTTTATAAACAGCTGTATCCGACAAAATACAGATCTTTATAAACAGCTGTATCCGACAAAATACAGATCTTTATAAACAGCTGCCTCCGACAAATACAGATCTTTATAAACAGCTGCCTCCGACGAAATACAGATCTTTAAGAACAGCTGCCTCCGACAAAATACAGATCTTTATATACAGCTGCCTCCGACAAAATACAGATCTTTATAAACAGCTCTATCCGACAAAATACAGATCTTTATAAACAGCTGCCTCCGACAAATACAGATCTTTATAAACAGCTGCCTCCGACAAAATACAGATCTTTATAAACAGCTGCCTCCGACAATATACAGATCTTTATAAACAGCTGCCTCTGACAAAATACAGATCTTTATAAACAGCTCTATCCGACAAAATACAGATCTTTATAAACAGCTGCCTCCGACAAAATACAGATCTTTATAAACAGCTGCCTCCGACAAAATACAGATCTTTATAAACAGCTGCCTCCGACAATATACAGATCTTTATAAACAGCTGCCTCTGACAAAATACAGATCTTTATATACAGCTGCCTCCGACAAAATACAGATCTTTATAAACAGCTCTATCCGACAAAATACAGATCTTTATAAACAGCTGCCTCCGACAAATACAGATCTTTATAAACAGCTGCCTCCGACAAAATACAGATCTTTAAGAACAGCTGCCTCCGACAAAATACAGATCTTTATAAACAGCTGTATCAGACAAAATACAGATCTTTATAAACAGCTGCCTCCGACAAAATACAGATCTTTATAAACAGCTGCCTCCGACAAAATACAGATCTTTATAAACAGCTGCCTCCGACAAAATACAGATCTTTATAAACAGCTGCCTCCGACAATATACAGATCTTTATAAACAGCTGTATCCGACAAAATACAGATCTTTATAAACAGCTGTATCAGTCAAAATACAGATCTTTTATAAGCAGCTGCCTCCGACAAATACAGATCTTTATAAACAGCTGCCTCCGACGAAATACAGATCTTTAAGAACAGCTGCCTCCGACAAAATACAGATCTTTATAAACAGCTGTATCAGACAAAATACAGATCTTTATAAGCAGCTGCCTCCGACAAATACAGATCTTTATAAACAGCTGCCTCCGACAAAATAAAGATCTTTATAAACAGCTGCCTCTGACAAAATACAGATCTTTATATACAGCTGCCTCCGACAAAATACAGATCTTTATAAACAGCTCTATCCGACAAAATACAGATCTTTATAAACAGCTGCCTCCGACAAATACAGATCTTTATAAACAGCTGCCTCCGACAAAATACAGATCTTTAAGAACAGCTGCCTCCGACAAAATACAGATCTTTATAAACAGCTGTATCAGACAAAATACAGATCTTTATAAGCAGCTGCCTCCGACAAATACAGATCTTTATAAACAGCTGCCTCCGACAAAATAAAGATCTTTATAAACAGCTGCCTCTGACAAAATACAGATCTTTATATACAGCTGCCTCCGACAAAATACAGATCTTTATAAACAGCTCTATCCGACAAAATACAGATCTTTATAAACAGCTGCCTCCGACAAATACAGATCTTTATAAACAGCTGCCTCCGACAAAATACAGATCTTTATAAACAGCTGTATCCGACAAAATACAGATCTTTATAAACAGCTGCCTCCGACAAAATACAGATCTTTATAAACAGCTGTATCCGACAAAATACAGATCTTTATAAACAGCTGCCTCCGACAAAATGCAGATCTTTATAAACAGCTGCATCCGACAAAATACAGATCTTTATAAACAGCTGCCTCCGACAAAATACAGATCTTTATAAACAGCTGCCTCCGACAAAATACAGATCTTTATAAACAGCTGCCTCCGACAAAATACAGATCTTTATAAACAGCTGCCTCCGACAAAATACAGATCTTTATAAACAGCTGCCTCCGACAAAATACAGATCTTTATAAACAGCTGCCTCCGACAAAATACAGATCTTTATAAACAGCTGCCTCCGACAAAATGCAGATCTTTATAAACAGCTGCATCCGACAAAATACAGATCTTTATAAACAGCTGCCTCCGACAAAATACAGATCTTTATAAACAGCTGCCTCCGACAAAATACAGATCTTTATAAACAGCTGCCTCCGACAAAATACAGATATTCATTAGAAAAAGGACTAAGTAAGCTAATTGTCCTATTTCTATCACACCCCTACACACAGGAAAGCAAGCGCGCGCGCACACACACACAGACACACACACGCATACACATATAACCTAGCGAATAAGAGGTAAAGTTATTTACGACATGTAATAACATTCACTAAACCATTAAACAATTAAACCATTAAACTTAACATTAACTTTTGGATGTCTTTCGGATCCAAATATTTCAAGTGCATTTTGCAAGTTGGGTTCAAGCGTTGTGCTTATGTGCAATAACGAAACTCAGATTCGTAACTTTGTTTTAGTAACGTGTTCACGGTTATCTCCCATATAGTTAGATGTTTTATAAATCTTTTTTGTGTGCTGTACCACTATCTATGCATTTTACATTATCGAACAAATACAGTAATTATATTTTCACATCAGATTAAAGTAACGATATTGAGCTTTACGTAGACCCATCTCAGTACATCATATACGGAATAATTGGGACTTATTTTAATCGGGCAAAAGTTATAAATCCAAATTTATCAAAATATTGGCGTCTTACGCGTCATCGAGTCGGAAAAACTGAGTTATGTAATTATGTCCGGATGTCAGTGAGTGTGGATGTATACATGATAACTTGAGTACAGTTACAGCTAGGTTGATGACAGTTCATATATAAGTATAATGTGAAATTTGTTGTTCTGTA